ATGGTAAGACCATTAAATAAGCTTCATAAATAAAAAGAAACTACCTACTAGTGAAAAAACATCCCCCAAAAATACTCAGATTAAGATTCAATCTGATTTTTGAACAGAGAAATATTTCAACTGAAAAGCAACTGAGTTTGGAGTCAAACAGATTAGAATTCCATCAGCTCCATCACATTACTAAATGTGTAATCTTGAGACAAATTCCTTAATCTCTTCAACCCTCAATAAAATAAGGATAACACTACCTCTCTCTGAGAGCTCTCTTTTTTTAAATACTCACCCGAGGATATTTTCCCCGTTAATCTTTAGAGAGTGGAAGGGAGGGGGAGAGAGAGGAAGAAACACCGATGGGAGAGACACATCAATTGGTTGCCTCCCCCACAGGACCCAGGGATCAATCTGCAACCCAGATAAGAGCCCTTGACCGGAATCAAACCTGAGACCCTTCAGTCTTCAGGTCAGGGCTCTAACCACTGATCCCTCCTCCATGGAGGACCCCCTCTCCTCCCTGCCCTCCTTCCTCCATGGAGGACCCCCTCTCCTCCCTGCCCTCCTTCCTCCATGGAGGGTCCCCTCTCCTCCCTACCCTCCCTCCATAACATTCCCCTTTCTAACCTGCAAAATGTTGAAGTAGAGATTGATTCATAAAGATAGTAGGACTTAAAGAACAGGGAAAAACTTTTAGCTCGACAGGAAGGGGAACCGTATTCCTTAGGTACTCCATATCTATTTATAATTTTAAAAATAAGAATAAAATTTCAGATTAGTAAATTACTAACGTGAAAATGCATCATTTATCTTAAATTCTTTTTTCTTTAAGATACTCTTCTTCCTCTCTCCTAATTTTATAATTCTTTGCAGTCCTACATTTGTACAATTTTTTCTCATTCCTCTTCCTAAAGCCCTGACTCAGATTCTGGGGATGACCTAAGCCTTAAACCAGACACACATACCTTGGAATTCGATTCGCCAAGACTTCTGGGAGAAGATCAGAACCAAGCAGCTAAGAAGTTAAAAAGGCCCTCGCCGGTGTGGCTCGGTTGGAGCATCGTCCCACACATGGAAAGGTTGTGGGTTTGACCCCTGGTTGGAGTGCATATGGGAGGCAAGTGATGGATGTTTCTCTCACATCAATGTTTCTCTCTCTCTCTCTCTTTCTTTCTCTCTCTCTCAAATCAATGAGCATGTCCACAAAAAAGAAATTAGAAAGAATTGTGTGACATAATGAAAAGGACAGGGGCTTTGGAAACAGACAAAGGTTTAAGACAAAGATTTAAGTCCTACCTCTGCCACTTTCTAGATGTATAACCTTGGGCAAGGCACTTTATCTCTCTGGACCTCATTTCCTTATTTGTAAAATGGAGATAATGCTATCTATATCTTAATGTGTTGTTGTCAGGATTAAGAAAACACCTATAACAATTCTTGGCATATAAAAGGCCAAGTAATGGTAACTATTATTAGGGTCAATATGCCAATTGCCTTACTGAACAATTTTGCAAAGCTGTACTTTCCTAAATGGCAAAAGGAGTCACACTGCTCCCACATTCCCATGCCTAGATCCTAAAGATTCTATTTTAGTAATCCATAATTAACCAAATTAAGAGCTTAAAGAATTCAGGCAAGAAAGTGCTAACATGGCTCAACTCATCCTCTGCCGACAGCAACAAAGCCAGTTCAAGGTGCATACCTTTGCCAAAAAAAATAATAATCTGCTCGAACATAGTCATTACCAATACTGATGTAAGCACAAACTAGTTACAGTTCTTGGCTCACAGTCTTACTGTCATAAAGTTTTAACTTTTCTAAAATAAATCCTCTTTTGTCTTGTTTTCTGTATTGTGACATTCCTATAACTCCATTTTTAAGAACATGGGGAAGAAATCCCCTCAACTTTACCACTCCGTTCACTGTGGAACTTCTCTTCCCATTTCACCAATCACTTCTTAGAAAGATTTTTGGTTTGTTGGATTCATTCGGTGTGAGCTTATGAAGGAAAACATTATATACAAATATGTCAGAGCCACAATGACAAGATCTGGTCCTCAGAGTATTCAAATTACACGATGTAACTTGTGCCAAAGATAAGATGTGACTAAGTAACCTACACACCATATGTTCATTCTTATTAACTACCACACTTGGGAATTCTGGCTCTTGTAAAAAGTTTATTTCCCTTGTGTGGCAGAGCCAAGTAACAGAACTAAGAAAAATGATGGCAGATACATGAATGGAGTAAGCGATACCATCAATGGAAATACGACTTAAGACAAATAAACCTGTATGTGACAGTTACAAAATTAAAGCAACGGTCACCAATTATACAGCCAAAGGCAGCTATTTCAATCCCCAAGTACCCCAGTCTCTCCTTACCCTCTATAAAAGCAGGAGTCAAGGTCAGATTGATTAAGTAAACAACCTAAGAATCAAGAAAGGCTCAACATATCAAAATGTCACACTGTAGTCCCTTGGTGAGGTGACTTTCATCATGAGGAAATCAGGGCAGTCTCATGCACTTATAATTTAACCAATTCAATATCAAGAAAGTTAAAGATTCTGTCCCCCAAAAAGTAGCCTTTAGCTATGTCATACAGCTGCATCCTTGCCCAGAGTTATACCTGATTAACATCTAACAGAGATTTTTTAAAAAATATTTGTATTGATTTTTAGAGAGAGAGGAAAGGAAAAGGAGAGAAACATCTATGTGAAAGCAAAGCATGGATCAGCTTCCTGCACTTCCCCCAACGGGGATCCCCCAATTGGGAATCAAACCAGCAACCCTTCAGTGTACAGGATGATTCCCAACCAACTGAGCCACAACACTGTACAGAAAACTAGATCCTGCCTTCCATAGCCATAAGGTGCTGAGTAAATCTAGAATTATGGAACCTACATTTTTATACTGGAAAAACAGGAAGAAGGTGGTTTGGCAACAAGGAAAAAATGGTCAAGAAGCACACCTAGAATTAAGAAAAAAGACAGATATGCTGGCCTGCGATTTTTAAACTTCTTTTTATAGAATATATTGAATTGTGTATCATTTGGAGGTGGCCCTAATGGCATGCACTTAAGCTATAATGGAAAGAGGAGTAAAATAAATTCTTAATAACCATAGCTATTATGTCTCAAGCCACTACTATATGTACCAAGTACAGTGCTAAAGCCCTCTATAAATGCTTCTAATCCTCAATCATATCGGTGTCCTTATAGAGGAGGAAACTAAGACTTAGAGAATTTGGAAATTACCCAAAAGCTAGTTAGCAGGGGTTACCAGGATTCAAACCGGGTCTGCCTGACAGTAAATCCCATTCCAAAAACAATTTGATAACTCTCTTACCCTCAAGAGATCTAATCAAATTATACATTTTTACACAAAAAGACCCTTAATCGCAGGAAAAAATTTGTCTGAAGTTATAAAGCAACTAAACTACTCAGAAACATGTTCTAGATTTCCAGGCTCATATATAGGCAGTAAAGGCGGCTCATGCTGCCTGTCTTTCCTCCTGTAATTCCTCCCAGAGGAGTTTCACACTGCAAAGGACAAGGAAACAGACCTAAAGCATCAGTAAACAAGTTCCTTCAGGCTTGCCTCTGACATCATCTGTTAACCACCAGTATTTGAGTAGGTAGAATGAAAGGGTTATCTGCTTCATAACTTAATCATGGGCTTATTACAACTAAAATTAAGCTGGGTCCAATTCCGCAAAGTCCTACAGTGAAACCAATGTCGATTTCACAACACTTTCATGCTGTTCTGATAAAGAATTAGAAATCGTTCCCAACAATAAAAAACCATATATCATTGTGTCCATATTTGTATGTATCCTGGAAATTAGAGCCATAATCTTTTTTTTTACATGATCCATGTCTGTCTTTTCCTGTATTTGCCCCTTTTTTCCTGTGATTTAGCTTTATGGGAGGAGAGGCATACTAAGCATAGCATTGTAAGGGGACTAGGGAGTATACACTGAGTGGCCAGATTATTATGACTACCCCATCAGTACAATGAAGTGAATTAGTTATGCAAATAATAATAATAATAATAATAATAATAATAAAACCTTGAAAGTATTTGCTTTAGGAAGTTTTCAATATTCAGTATTTTTGGAAGTGTCAATGAAGTACTGATGGGGTGGTCATAATAATCTGGCCACTCAGTGTATATCCTACTGTGGTCTAGGCACACGGACTCCCCGCTGCTCCAAGGCTACTGTCTCTTCACAACTACCTCGGAAAGAAGCTGGCCGCTGAGACAGAAAGCCCCACAACGACAGCTTTTCCCCAAAAGTAGAAGCATTTCTTCCTAACCCTGTCAGGTCGCAACAGAGGGAACCAATAAATCACGCTCTCTACACACAGCCTACTAATCCCGGTGGCCGACTACGGGGTGGAGAGAACCAACCTCTGACACTTGTGCATTCAGAGAAGATGCACGGACATTGCAGTATCGAGGGAAGGGCACGGCAGCAGCACTGCTCTGCGGACGCTGCTGACCACAGAAAGGCATAAAGTCACCATCGGTACAGAAACCAGGCAGACTGAGGATTTCAAGGCGAGGTCACTACTGCTTACTCCTAACTTCCATCAGCAAAGACCTTCCCACCCGCCTGGCTGGGTGATCGCTCATAAGCGGTCAGGTTTTTCTGTACCATCGGGGTCTTCTCCCCGGAGAAGCTGAAAGATGACCCGCGAGTATGCTGGGGGTGCAGGGAGGGGCGGCATTAGGTGCCTCTTCCCGTGCCCATTCCAGGCAGGAGTGGGAAGCGCCACCTCCACGTTATCCATAGGGAAGTGCGACCGCGCCGGCTGGGGTCTTCGCTCCCCAGCACGGGGCCCGGGGAAGGGCATCTCTGAGAGTGGGTTTACGGGGGAAAGGGTCTCTCTGCGTCTGTGATCAGGAGGGAGGGCGTGGAGGACGGTGCTGCGGTGCCGACAGGATCTGCGTGTGGTTCCCCTCCCGCCCTCTCTCTGCACGACAGGCAGCCCGGCCCCAATACCTTCTTGACTGTGCGCGGCGCCTCGGTAACGGTGCCGTCGGGGCTGAGCAGGGCCTCGCCGCCGTCGCGGTGCCGCTGGTGCTGGTGATGGGGGTCGCTCCGCTTCAT